AGAATCTACTTCTATCTGGGAGGGAAAAAAATAATCACCACAAAAAAATACAGCCAACCAACCATGAATTAGAATAGACAAACGTCGCACTCAACACAGTCTGCCTGAAAGAAACTCGGTCTTTCGCCAGTTCTTCCGCCTCATGCACTTTCATACTCAAGGAGTCACTTATATCCTGTGCCCATCTTCGTGTTGGTCGGCCCCTGCCCCTTCTTCCTGGTACCATGTCTTCTGCTATAATTTTTTTCCAATCCGTTGCGGCGCTTGATATGACTAAGAGATTGAAAGTATCACAGATTTTGAATATGTAAGCATAATGAACAACTAAGGTGACTGCACAAAAGAAGTCGAAAAAATGTCGACATCATGTATGACCTGAATATCAAAGAGATGCGGCTCGTAAACAGCATCCTCTCCTAAAAATAGACTTTTGGGTGTGTCGTGAAGGAGCGATGTTCGGTAAAGGCCATGCTGATTAATGAGAATATATACACTATAGTGCTGTTCCTGGGTTTCACCAGCTCTCATCATCATCATGTAGCAGGTCCTTTGCAGAACGTCGCTCTCATCACAGTCTGCCTGTAAGAAACTCGGTCTCTTGCCAGTTCTCCCGCCTCATGAACTTTCACACTCAAGGAGTCACTTATATCCTGTGCCCATCTTCGTGTCGGTCGGCCTCTGCTTCTCCTTCCAGCTCTACGAACTGATATAATCAATCTCTACCTGGCCGCCATCATTACTTTACATGGAAAGCAGTCTTGTGATTCTTCCTCTTCTCTACACTATCCTCATTCTTCTATGTCCCTCCCAATGTTGTTTCTTCTCAAAGTAAAAAAAAAATATAAAAATGTGTTATTAACAATCATGACTGCCTACAGCTCTGTGCCGTGTCCCCTGACCATCATATTTAATACAGATGTATCTCTGTGCCATAATACTGAACCAAACTATCAACTATCAAATAAGGAGGAAGCGGTGGAGGAGCGGAACAGAAGGAGGAAGTGAGTTGGAGTATTCCGATTCCGATGTTTGATGGGGAAAAGGGGGAGGGGAAGTCAACCACATTCAACTCGCTGCGAACAGCGTTGGTTATATTTGTTGTCTGGTTGATCAGATCAATATTAATCACATAAGGGCACCACCATTATTGCGCGACAGGCCACGTGTTATTTCTGAATCTACAGTTCACAACATCACATTGGTCACAGTCGAAAAACATTCTAAAGGAAATCCGCAGCTCACAGGGAATTGGAAATTATCCTCCCCGTGTGGGCCCCGGGGCTAAATTGTAGGGAAAACAAGTGTAGACCCACTGCCTCCTAAACAAGTATGTTGTAGGAGTCGACTAATTATGAGATTCCTTCGAAGTCGGAGTGCATCTACCCGAGCAGGAATAACCAACTGCACACAAATAAACCAGTAACACGGATGTACACACAAAACTCAGGCCACGTCACAAAGCCACAGTCCAAATGGACGAACACACTGGACATTCCGCCAGAGCTTACAGCTGGTGAACAAAGAAGGATTTGGAGGAGGTCATATAAAACAGCCAGATGCAGAATGCAATTACGAGGAAAATAAAACTCGGATCAAGGCAGCCATCAGAACCCATTGGGACATTTGCCATCCAGGACACAATCCTGAAGAGCTCTTATTTAGCATCTTCACACAAACGAAACAAACCATTATATTTAGACTACGTCGCTGTGCTCGGCAGATTCTGTAGCCGTGTGTACAAGAAATTCACGACTGGTGATTCACAACTACACCATTTGTTGACAAACACAACAAATTACTGAACATATGCTACAAACACGCTCTCTGCATGCAGTGGAGAGATCCCACGTTTGGTCGGTTGGCACTGCAATGCAAACCAATTTGCACGGAACTGTGAAAGACATGCGTTGCGCTAGTTAGTTGCGTATCCTTTACAGTACAGGACGTTGCAGAACGAAACCCAGCATTTTGTGGCTATTGTGGTTTTTCTGGGAAAATTTATATCCTGTAGTTTGCCATTGCTTTCTGGGCGGTTGGCATCTCGATACCACTATCGAAACCAATGCAAGGTTGGCAGCTGGGATCGAACCTGGCAACCCGGCATTACAAAGCACGTTCTCAACGCCTAGACCATCGACGCGTTGCACCACAGACCTAATAATAAAGGCCTTTGCCTTTATCATACGAAAAACCACTAGCAGAGAGGTTGAAAGGTAAATTTTTTTTTCCCACCTTCCTGCTAGTGGTTTTCCGTAAAAGATATTGTGGCTTTCCGAGCGGATCTGTAGAAAGAAAATCTGAAATGAGTATAACTGATACGATACCTGCCCTCAGTATCGATCCGTGCCTAGCATTGTTGTTACTGTGTCAGATGTTGTTTACAAATGGCGGATCTGTTGTTATATTTATATTGCCAAATTTATTCTCTTGACATTTGGATTCATGCATCATGCATAGTTGAGATAATTGTAAAATAATGACAAGACAAAGTACGTTTATCTGTTTTTATAGTTTACAATGATGTAATTTAAACATTGACGAAATTTTACTAGATACGTTTAGTTCTTCATTCCCCCTCTTCTCCATCATAGCCTTCCGGAGTGCTATGCTATACTATAGCCTATAGTATTAGTATTCTGCTAATTCTATGATTTCGATTCTTAATGCAACATTTAACTTCATCAGAGCCTCCATTTAATTCACTTTAGCGAGGTCCACAATACAAATAAACAGGTAACAGACGCTATTTGGTGGGGGTTTGGGTGGACTGTTGGCTCTGTCAAATGGGTTGAATTAATATTCATCATCATCATGTAGCAGGTCTCATCACAGTCTGCCTGAAAGAAACTCGGTCTCTCGCCAGCTCCTCTCCTCCAAACTTCGTCCCCATATTATGGTGACCAAACAAATACCCTGACAGGGCCTCAGTCCTGAGTAAAATGTGGAGTGCCTGCCGAGGAACAATTGGGGCAAAACTAGGATTGCCTTCAAATAACAGGCCAATATTATCGAGGGCAAACAAATACTCTAACAGGGTCTCAGTGATATGTTAATTGTGGACCTGTTTCTGCGGATGGGTGGCTAAACTAGATGGCTGAGATTTATGAGCAAATAAATTTGAGTTAGTTACAGGAGATGCGGTAGCTACTGTTCATGAGTCCCAGCTATTTAGTTTAGCCCCTTATCCGCCCCGCACGATTAGTTTAATCGGAAGAACACTATCACTAACTTGCGTTGGAGCGCATGGTCTCCCCGCCATGTCGCTATTATTGTGTGTATTGTTGCATTTCTTGAAATTGTCAATGGATAGTAATCCTAGTTTTGCCACAATGTGTTCGGCGGAGGAAGTCCACACTTTACAAATTACTGAGACCCTGTCAGGGTATTTGTTTGGATGCCATATTATAAGAGCGAAGTTCGGAGGAGAGCCGATCATTTATTATAGTACTAACATGGCCGGGTTACTTCTCACGATGTCTATTTTGTTTTCAATATTATTTTGAATACTTTATTATCAGTATTTAGTTTTATCAAACTTTACGGGTCGCTGATTGAATTACAACAGACAGTGAAGCTTGAACTAAAGTTGCAGATGTAGATAATTTATTTCAAGCAAACAAAAGAAGAGGTTTGAGGTTTGAACAACGGATCAACATTATGGCACCAGGGTAGTAACCTATAAGTGCTTTGTTCTACTTTTAACTCAAGTCTGTCTGAAGTAGCTCAGCACAGTGCATGACCTCTGTAGCACTGGCGAGGATCCTGAAATATTTTGAGTATTTTTCAACTCCAAAGTTTGCCTGGGCGGTGCCGTTAGGCTGATCTTTTCGATTTCCAACTGCCAAGGATTTTTTTTATGTGTGCAACAATACACACGGGTGTCTGATCTTACTACCCAGAGATCAGGGGAAATTACTAGAAGTCCACGTGAAAAAATCTCAGCCCTCACCAGAGCCTGAGCACAAGACCTCTAGCACACGAGCTGTACACCATACCTCAAGACCACGCAGCTCCCCTAAATGAAAGAAGAAGTTTTATTAAACTTGATGCCATTAACTGGATCTAATAAGGGTTTTTCCTTATGTTCTTTGGCAAATTTTTTCAGCATTTCTGTAATTAACACATTTTTTATGAGTACTGGCTTTTTAAAAAAAAATTTGTTCAAGACATTTTATGGTTAGTATCAACATTTTTCTTTTGGAACAAAGCCCTGGATCCTATCATAATTGTTTCAGTTTAAATGTCATTATGGATACTGAAGAGTGGATTTGCCTTGGTCAAGTTTAATAATGATGAAGACCTCAATCCAACTAACTTTTGCAATTGGAACTCTTTCCTGGCTGCTGAAGATGAGGACAAAGTATGTATGGGAGGACTGTGATGTGTGATTTTTTGACTCAGCTCAATATAGCATTAAAGAGGAAGATGTTTTAATCAACCTACAGAAACTCTGAATTATTGATGTACTTATCACTTTTCTCAGTGTAAATAACATTCTTGCATATTAACCTCACTGGCCACTTATGTCTTCATACCCACCATTTGTGATATTTGAAAATCACACTCCTAATTTCAGATATAATTTTTTGGATAAATAATAATTTCAGTATATACTAAAATAACTCCTAGAGCCCACATTTTCACCATCACTGACATTTTCATGTCAGCTTCTGCATAAATTCTGCAGTTAAAGAAGCAGAGCAATCAAATCTGACATAATGATGAGGACAGTCAATGAGTAAGTTACAAATCGTTATGGGATGGCAGGAAAATGTAGTTGGTTTTTCTAAAGGTGTCACTAGGTGACAGCACTTGTTGCTTCCCTCATATTACCATAACAACCATTCAACCAAAAACAAAAAACAAAAAATTTTTTTATGTGTTTCTTTGCTGGTGTGTTTGTTAAGTGTGAAACCATAAAACTAGATACTCTGACAGTGTCAAGCTAAACACTATTGTCTTTACTCCACAGGCTAATCTGCAAACATCTTTTGTCGACAATGAACTATATACCCAAGTCTGTTGACTACAGATCTGACCAGGATAAAAAGGCAAAACAGTTGAAGAAACATTTAGAGCGGGCAGAGAAGCAGATGATAGAACAAGCACTACTGCGCCAGAAATTGGAAGAGTTAGTCAGTGAGCGTGTCACCAGGAAGCATAGATCATTTGTAAGCAGTGATGTAAATAGAGAGATGATGACAAGAAGTGTTAAATACAATATAAAATGTGAATAGAAAGTTTTACTGTGCACCTTTTCCATTTCCTCTGTTGAGGGGCTGAGTAGTCTTGAGGCATGGCGTCTGCCTCGAATGCTGAAGGTCCCGGATTCAAGCCCCAGTGAAGACTGGTCTCTGGATAGTAAAATCGAAGGCCCGTGTGTATTGTAAAAAAAAATCTTTTGGCAGTTAGAAATCAAAAAGAGTAGCCTAATGGTGCTGCCCGGGCAAAATTTGTAGTTAAAAATCTACCCAAAGTATGTCTGGATCCTCGCCGGTGCTACATAGTTTAAGCACTGCCCTGAGATTCTTCAGACTAAGGCTTAAGTTAGAAGTAGAATGGAGCACTTATGGGCTGCTGACCGTGTGCCATGATGTTGATCCATTGTTCAAACCATCAAATCATCTGTTAAGCTTTCTAGTTGCATTTAATGTTGTATTTAGCATATTTGTATGCAAATTTAGAAGCATAACTTAGAATAAGACCCACTTATTAAAACTAAATTAAACATACTCATCAGAAATCTATAAAATCATTGTCATCTATATATACATCATAATCTTTTTCACTATCATCATCTGTATTACACTCATCATCATCTATCATCTTTATTATCACTATCACCACTACGTTTATCACCATAATCTGTATAATCATTATCAACATCTCTGTAATAAGAATAATAATCACCGTCATTTGCAGCATCGTCTAGATTATCATCATCCCCATTATTTTACTTTTCATCCTCTACATAATTTAATTACAGTTTACTTCTTGTTTAAAAAAAAAACATAATTGATAGGCATAAATGTCCACTGTTGAAATAGAAAAAAAATACTCTTATATGTATCCCAATTATAACCTGGATGGGTTGAACAGGATATTATTATTTAAATTACTTAAACTGATAAGACAAAAAATGAAAAATAAAACCATAATATGACCAGACAGCTGATGGAAGAAAAGATGCACATCATCATCATCATCATCAGGTGCCTTGCCGACTGGCGTAGGCGATCATACATCTCCATAATCTGCGATCTGCTGCAGCATGTATCAGTTCGTGTGCCGACACACCTCCATGCCATGCAACAATACTGTCAAGCATCTTCTCTCGTTGTCTTCCTCTATCTCTCCTTCAAGATATCTTTCCAGTGGTCACAACATGTTCTATTTTTCCTCTTCTCATAACATGCCCAAAAAATGATGACTGTCTCCTTCTGATGTCTGTGATAAGTTGTCTTCGGGCTACCGCCTCTTTCAAAACCTCTTGGTTGCTCTTTTTGGCTGTCCAAGGTATTCTAAGCATTCTTCTGTAAAACCACATCTCCGAGGCCTCCAGAAATATTTTGTTTGGCCTGTCTACCGACTGTCCAGGATTCACAGCCATATGTTAAAACTGGATGTATGTAGCAAACAAGAATTCTTTTTCTAACTCTCAATGACAAGAATATATCGCACAAGATGTTTTTCATTTTATAAAATGCAGATTTTGCCTATCCTATTCTGTTTCTTATCTCAGTTATGCATCTACCATCTGATGTTATCCATGTGCCCAGATACTTAAATTTCTGTACTTGTCCTAAAATAACACCATCAACTTTTATTACACACTTAGAAATAATTAGTTTCTTTGATACCACCATTATTTCTGTCTTCCCATTATTCAAACTGAGGCCCATTCTTCCACTTTCTAACACCACAATGTCTATCATTTCCTGTAGTTCTTTCTGACTTGTTGCTATCAAGACTGTGTCATCAGCATAACGTAAATTATTTATATTGTGCCCACCAACCACAATTCCGGGCATACTAATTAAAGCTCTCATTATATATTCACTGTATATTGAAAACAAATCAGGTGACAGTACACATCCTTGTCGTACGCCCCTTTTTATGCTTTGTACCTAAACAGTTGTTAATTTTTATAGCTGCTGTTTGCTGCCAATACATATTCTTTATTATTCGTAGATATTTCCCATCAGTGTTTAATTTTTCTAACAGTTTGATTACTTCTGCATGCTTCGCACACTCAAATGCTTTTGTATAGTCTATGAAGCGTATGTACAAATCAGTCTTTACTTTCTGACAATGTCCTTAGGATGTATATGGCATTGTTTGTACCTTTTCCTTCTACAAATCCACAAATGTTGGTATTATTTTGGATAAAAAAAACTCAAAAACTGTGAAAGGATTTTGGACATCATTTTTTTTTTCTACAAATCCACTGATGCACATAGATGCAGACAAACATTTTGGCCAAAGTCTTTAACAACAAACAATACATCAAGAATACTTAGACATAGAACTGAATTCACATAATCTGACTGCAGAGAATCTGCATGATGAACTAATAAGCTTTCTTGTCAAATTGTGTGTTTATTTAGTTTTTCTATGTGATCTGGACAATGATCACTCCTTTTCTTGCCAAGATTATTATTTCATTTGTTATTTGTTGATTTAACAATGCATTGTTGGCATTTTTGCAATAATTTTTATTATATGTTACATCTTTATTACCCTTTATTTTGCTGTTGATCATTTCCTAAGTTATGAGATGAGTATTATTGCCTGTTGTGATTTCTGCACATATAACTTTCTTCATCTTCCTAAAGATACATCTGCTAAAAATTATATATTTCTATGTATGTATGTGAATATGTGTGGAGTGAGGGTATGGGTAGACAGATGTCTCTGTGTGTTTGTGTGTGCACATGTGTGTATGCATTTACCATCCATATTCTTGTGTTTGTTAATTGAAATTCGTATTATGTATATTGTTATATATTATTTGTAAAATATTTTTGAGAATTCTATGTGAGGTTCATTTCTGCAGATATTACCCACCTCCATGCATCTCTCTGGTTGGCCTTCTCTTTCCAGTTGGTAACACCAAGTGCTTGTAGATATTGTCTGGATATAATCTCTTCATCGTCTTCTTGGTCTGCCTCAAGGTCCAAGACCTTTCAGCTGCCGTGTGTACAGTTTTTATCTCTCTGTCATCAGACATTCTCTCAGTATGCCAAAGCCATTGCACTTATATAAGCATAACATGTCTAATTCAATAAAATACAGCAGCTATATGAAAGATGATTGTTTCGAAGGACTGTATGTAAGAAAGGCCTGTGTGCACAGTTTGTGACTCTTTGAACATATGTTTATTATTTCTTTTGTTCTCGCTCTTTTATTTCTGTCCTTTCTAACTTTCAGTTTCTGTGTGTGTGTGTGTGTATGTGTCCATCAGTGTTAATTACATTCTGAAAATTATTGTGCAAAATAGGTGCTTGCCTATTGGCAACAAGAACTTGGCAATTCCACAGAGACAATGTATCCATCTGTACTCTGCATCTGATTGAGCACTGTATTTTTATAGACCAACTAGCACTCAGTGGGTAATATGATCAACAACATTACCATGTACTCATTTTAGGCTGGATTTACTTGGGATTAGATTTGAACCCAACTGTTTAGGATGACCAGCAAGCATCTAGCCAATGCACTGCTTTAGTTCCTTTAAGATTTAGTATTCTTGTACATATGTTTTCCACCTGCAGGTTCCAGTGCCCTATTTTGGGAAGAAATAGTAGACCAACTGGCCCATTAACAAGTATGTCATAAAAAGCAACTCATTAGGGGTTTGTTTAAATTATGGTAGCTGTAAACCACAACATAATGCCCCAGCCGTCCGGGTGGATGCAGAAGAAGAAGAAGAAGAAGCACATGGTTTTTTTCAACTTTAACTCATAAAACTGTACCTTTTTAGAGCCTGTTACATAATTAAGTTCAGACCTATTAATTAAAATGCAGTGAATGAATTAATATTCTCTTAGTGTTTTGAACTTTGACCCTTTACAGGACAAAACACAAGGTGATCATTTAGCACTAAATGGAATGACTAACAGAATCGATAGACAAGGTTATAATAGTAAGTATTAATAAAAGTTACTAGAATACATTGTGGCAAACTGTTAGAGAGTACATTTATTTGTTTTTCAATATATGGGTCACTATATATTATTCATGTATTTTTTTTATCACTAATAGACTGAAATGGCTGGGGCATACTGGAGAGAATGTCAGAAGACAGAGAAGTAAACAAAAACTGTATACACAAGGTAGCTGAATGGTTGTTGACCACGAGGCAGACCAAGAAGATGATGGAAAAATAATGTCCAGACAGACCTACAAACACTTGGTGTCACCAACTGGAAAGAGAAGGCCAACCAGAGAGATAAGTGGAGGCGGGTGATATCAGCAGCAGTGAACTCAAGGGCTCGGAACACTGAAGAAGAAGAAAAAGTATTTTTCTATCAGTTTATCTGTTTAATAATCACTGGGCATCTGTCTATGTATCCATACATATATCTAATAATTTTTCCATCCATACATAGAAAAGAAAAAACCAACATTAAATTAGCATTTGTAATTGGATAAAGCATCTTTAGTCTATGACTGAACCAACTGAAATGAGGTTTCACCAATGCTGATTTGGTTATCGTTTGATGAAATCATTGCAGTTGTCTGTTTCTGTGCCACATAATGTTTTTTTTTTCAACTCGCATTTTTGCTATCATTTAAAAAGAAAAAAGAAGAAACATTCAGTGTTTTGAATGTTGTAATCGTAACTGATCATGAGCACGATTCACAAAATATAAATTGTTGTCTAGTGCTCAGAGTAGCTTGCATTGCTTGATGAGAATTAGATCAGAAGTATACCATGGATTTTTTTGGCCACAAGTATATTCAGGTGTGTGGGATAATTAATAGGATGATAGACTGGCTGCTGCCACTCCTCTGGGTGTTAGCTACTTTACTATAAAGCGGACATGGGGAAGGATCTGTGGGATCGAGTGGAACAGAACAGACTGTGTGTCCATAGCTTGAAAGACTGAATTAGCGAGGATGGTTAGAGTTTCTGGATGATATTCGACCCTGAGGGGAAGACAAAGGTTGACTTTTAATCAGACTACCACTGGCACTATTAGCATGGAAACTCTTCATTGGCTGCTGAGGAAGGGAAGAGCGCACATGTGGGAATGTCCTGAATACAGTGATATCAATTCCTGATTCATTCATTTATTCATTCAATGTTCTATAAATTTCAGTTGGCTACAGGATAAATAACAAAGTGTTAGAAGAAATTGCAGCAAAAACCAGGGAATTTAAGAAATCACAGGCTCAGAGGGCAGCAGATATTAGGTGAGTATTTGAAACTTTGCAAGATCAATGGCTAAATAGTTTAGCTCATTCTAAACCAAGGAGCACATCATATGTTGATTGGTTACACTGTACATTATGTTCATAACCCCATCTGGATATTATGTTAAATGTTAAACCTTTATCGTCCATGCTTATCAACTTTCTCCTCCTTTTGCCTACGCCTTTGAAAGGGCAGTAGGCACTTTGTGTTGTAGGTCTCCCCCCTCCCCCCTGCATATTTGATTTCAACAAATCCTTAATTAGTGGCCTTTCAGAACACGCTTGTAAAGGAGCAATGGGTTAAAAAAAAAACGGGCCCACAGCCCACACAGGGAGAAAGCTTGGCATATGGTGATGAGCTTATATAGCCAATCGCTTGCTTGCAGTTAAAACTGAGTCATTACAACTTCTCAGCAGACATCTTCAATAGTGCATACATTCTTCACAAATAGTGTTGTAGCAATTAAAGTAGTGTTTCCACTCTCACTATCTGAGGTGTGTTGGGCGCACGATGCTAGGCTCCAATTTATTTGAACTAATGGGTTGGTGTTAACCATCTTTAAATCACAGATATTTTCTGATACCTATTTTACACTAGCTTGACCTGAAAACTCAGGTCAGTTTAAAAATCTGCCTGCATGTGGATTGAAACCTATGACACTGAGCTGACAGAAAAGCATGACTGCCACTGCTGTGCAGTGAATTAGTTATTTTTATGTATTTAGAAGTTATTATTGGTAATGTATGTTATTTTAAAAAAAATTGAAGGATGGTTTTTATGAAAGTGGCTTATGGGCATATTTTGCCAGACTCTGATTTTCGAAAGGAGGGGGGGGGGGGGGGGGGGGGGGGGCTCTGTTGCATATCATCTAAAAATGTTACCCAGTGAGAGGTAGCCATTCTAGAAACTCACACTGTGCTACTACTGCTCTCATATAAATCATATTACTGTGTGTCTTAAATCTATTATTGTCTACATCATATTACTGTGTGTCTTAAATCAAATCTATTGTTGTCTACATCATATTACTGTGTGTCTTAAATCTATTGTTGTCTACATCATATTACTGTATGTCTTAAATCAAATCTATTTTTGTCTACATCATATTACTGTGTGTCTTAAATCTATTGTTGTCTACATCATATTACTGTGTGTCTTAAATCTATTGTTGTCTACATCATATTACTGTGTGTCTTAAATCTATTGTTCTCTACATCATATTATTGTGTGTCTTAAATCTATTGTTGTCTACATCATATTACTGTGTGTCTTAAATCTATTGTTGTCTACATCATATTACTGTGTGTCTTAAATCTATTGTTGTCTACATCATATTACTGTGTGTCTTAAATCTATTGTTGTCTAAATCATATTACTGTGTGTCTTAAATCTATTGTTGTCTACATCATATTACTGTGTGTCTTAAATCTATTGTTGTCTACATCATATTACTGTGTGTCTTAAATCTATTGTTGTCTACATCATATTACTGTGTGTCTTAAATCAAATCTATTGTTTGTTGTCTACATCATATTACTGTGTGTCTTAAATCTATTGTTGTCTACATCATATTACTGTGTGTCTTAAATCAAATCTATTGTTTGTTGTCTACATCATATTACTGTGTGTCTTAAATCTATTGTTGTCTACATCATATTACTGTGTGTCTTAAATCTATTGTTGTCTACATCATATTACTGTATGTCTTAAATCAAATCTATTTTTGTCTACATCATATTACTGTGTGTCTTAAAGCTATTGTTGTCTACATCATATTACTGTGTGTCTTAAATCTATTGTTGTCTACATCATATTACTGTGTGTCTTAAATCTATTGTTGTCTACATCATATTACTGTGTGTCTTAAATCTATTGTTGTCTACATCATATTACTGTGTGTCTTAAATCTATTGTTGTCTACATCATATTACTGTGTGTCTTAAATCTATAGTTGTCTACATCATATTACTGTGTGTCTTAAATCTATTGTTGTCTACATCATATTACTGTGTGTCTTAAAGCTATTGTTGTCTACATCATATTACTGTGTGTCTTAAATCTATTGTTGTCTACATCATATTACTGTGTGTCTTAAATCTATTGTTGTCTACATCATATTACTGTGTGTCTTAAATCTATTGTTGTCTACATCATATTACTGTGTGTCTTAAATCTATTGTTGTCTACATCATATTATTGTGTGTCTTAAATCTATTGTTGTCTACTACATGTAACCTTTGAGTCACTGTAGTGTAGCAGCTAAATGCTCGACTGCGGATCAGAAGGTAGGGATTTCGGGTTCTGACGGAGCCAGACATTTTTTTTTTCAAAGGTTGATCCAGCCTTTTGTGGGTACAGGGTGCAGTCCTCTGAAATAAAGGCAGCGGGTGTGACACTGACTACATCACCCACCAGGTGCTGATTGGTCTATAAAATCTAGGCCTAGTCCTGTATGCCCAATACGCCTGAATGTGTGGAAAAGGGTCCATTACTTACGTTTTTACTTACTTACATGTGACCTTTTTTGACATGTTATAAATCAGTGACTGTGTTATTTATTACCTAGATATCTGACCCAAGAAAGACAACACATTCTAGAAGCTTACAAACAACTTCAAGCAAAACGAGATATTTTTCGCTCAATCCCATCACCCGTTGGAGAAGCAACCGAGCGCATCTGGGGCCAAAAGTATTCCATTTACACGCCGATGCATTACGATGAGTACAGCAATGTTTTCACTCCCGCATTTCAAGATGGCTACTACACATACTTTCCACGTCCCAAGAGGAAGAAGAAGTGGTTTAATAGCCAGCTTCTGTTTGTCCCAATGCCACTTTATCAGTCGTCATGGTAATCATTGTGTTCGGCAACATGAGACAAGTCACAGCAAGCATCTATTTAAGAATTCCTCAAGGCAACGAGGATTGCAAGATAAATAAACCTGTACCTCGTTCTTCTTCTTCTTTTCTTCTTCTCTTCCACCTTGTACCTCATCGAAGTGTCAGGGTCGGATGTAATGTTCGTTGATGAGCTCTGTCAAGAGCACTATTAAGACTGATGTTCATTTCTGTAAGGCTGTTCTTAATGCCATCACTCCATATTTTCCGAGGTCTTCCACTCGCTGTATACCCGTTGTAACATTTTAGTGTGACTCGCTGTAGCAGATAGTACCAGGGCATTTTTGTTAGGTGTCCAAACCTGTACTTTATTATATGTACTTAATCCATTCCTGATCCTTGGACATATACCTAACATTATATGTACTTAATTCATTCCTGATCCTTGGATATATACCTAACATTATGTGTACCAAACAAATTGTCCCATAAGAAGTATATGAAGAATGGTTAATCCATTCCTCTGAAAAAATCATTTTGTTATTAGCATATTATACATTGATAGGTTGTATTAATTAATGTATATAACGCTACTGTTAAAAAACATAACTAGAAAAGCAATGAGAAGAAATAAATGAATTTATTCTCCCTTTACCTTCCTGAGCAGAGTCAAGTGCCTACTAGGCACCCTTCTTCTTCTTCTTCATCTTCTTCTTTTTTCTTAGTGTTTATCGGCTGTAAACTCCAGCAGAACTTTCAGATTGCTTATCCACTTACAGACTTTAATCTTGCCCATGAACTTGAATTTTGTATGCAAATCTGGTTTACAAATCCGGCTTACTTGTATGCAGACTATTGGTTCCTCACCGCTCAGGTAAATGTTTTCTGATTTCAGACAGAAATCCCTTATTAGTAGCTTTTTTTTTGACATGCTTGTTATGAAGGGCAGTGGCTATATTCTTTTCCCACCTAAAATGGGGCCCTGGGCCCAACTATCTAAGTGATTCCATGTTCTTGCCTAAGAAAATCTGGTAATCTTAGTTTCAGCTTCATAGCTTGAGAAAATCAAAACAGGATCGGTTCCAAGCAATGGTTGGAGTCTTTGAGAAATTCTGATCTAATAGGAATCAGTGTCATTTTTGTGTGCCAGGACATTCTGTGGTAAGAGGAAATAAGCAAGCAGACTGACTTGCTGGCAAGGTCATGGTAGGCACAAGACCAGCAGTGGACTGGTATGATGCTCTTGGGGCTCTTGTTCTATCAAGGCAGGATAAGTAGACATTTCAGGAGATGGTGGTGAATCAGCAACCTTGAAAAAAACCATATCAAAAGAAGTGTTGTCAGATATGAACACTTTACAGGTGTTATCAGTCGCCACATGTGGCGCGGTGATTTATGTCACAGGCGTGAGGGAAAGTTAAGTCCAACATGTTGTGTATAAGGAGATACTCTGTACGTCACTCAGGCGCCAGCCCTTCACTGTTCTGGTTTTACGGAACCTCACGCAAAACCCCTGCAGCACGCCCTCGTCGTGCGCCACGGATAATGTCTCAAATGAGCATTAACAGAGCTGTCAGGGGATCTCGGAGTTTGGCGGCCCCCAGAGGTGATGTGTCCTTGTGGCTCTCATCAGCCCGCCCCCAAACGCATGGGTGAAAAAGGTTATCAAAACTCATTAGGAACATGAGTAAAGTGCTTGCCAAACGTACAACTAAAATTACAACCCTTGGTTAAAAGATTGCGGAGTGAAGAGAACATTGTTCTGCTGAGACTCAACCCTTGACCTAGAGATTTACCTGCAGCACAGACGAGTAACATCTCCTGTGGGTGGCGTCTCGCAGCAAGGCTCTACCCATGTACATCCTCTGTTAACCCTCAGTGTCGTCGTCACCGCGCTGAGGTACACCACAATAGCAACAGCCCATTGGCTGGCTAAGCCTAAATGTCCGACAAAACTTGATCCTACGGCACACGAGTAAGCTCAAAATCCGACCATCACAAATCGTATTGAACGGAAAAAGTCAAAATGTCCACACCCAAAGACCCCACTCGCCCGAGTGTTGGGACCAAACAGATAACAATATGCCTGACGCAGGATGTAAAATTCTGTTGGGCTAACGGCTTGAAAAAGGTATCTAACGTGCGAAGAAAAAGAATGTACCTATTCGTGTGGTCACAAAAGTCCAGAACCTGCGGGCTGCTCCCCGCTGACTTCCGGAGGGCGCAGCCCTTGTCGAGTGAGAGGTTGTGAGGTTAAGCAGGCATGTGCAGGACGTGACGATTCCTTGGGTGAGCCCAGAACCAGAGCGCCATGTGCCGGCTCTGCATACATGGAAGCCTCCTTGGATGGCGGGGAATGCCCATGATCTGCCCCTGACTTCCCTTGAGGGCCAACCGTTCCACAAGGGGCTGCCCTAAAGGGGTACTCCGGGGGCAATACCTGCGGAGAAGGTGACAAAGAGGACACCACACAAATAAGGCAACGTCTCGACCCACACAAAACAATGGCCACAGTCATCCTAGAAATAGGCCTGACGTCTTTCCTCGAAGTCAGAGTACATCTGCCCGTGAGGCAGGGGACAGCAAAACGGTTGTACACGCAAAACTCAGGTCCAGGTTAAAGCCAAAAGTCCAAGCGGACGGTTAACTGGGACCTTCCGCTGGAATTCACAGCCAGTGAACGAAGAAGAAGAAGAAGAAGTCGCCACATGCTGTTGAGGATACTGAAGATGAGATCTTAGCACTTATGGACTTTTCTGATGTACGATAAGGATGATTGGTTAATTAACTAACTCCTGTAAACTCTTTCACCTCAGTTGACAAAGATATTTTTACACAAAATAAAATATTATCAGTAGGATTTTGTGTTAATATTTAATAAAATACTGACCAATTTTGGGACATGAATCAAGATTTCCTATTGAGAATTAAAGAATTAAAAAGGTTTTGTTTTGGTAGAAGTTAGCAAAGGATCCTGTTTCATGTCATGGGCTTATTGGATATCTGATATGGTAAAGTGAAGGCCAACCAGAGAGATAAATGGAAGCGGGTGATATCTGCAACAATGAACCTCAAGGGCTCGGAATGCTGATAAAGAAGAAGAAGAATTTTAGTAGGGATTTGAACACATTACCAAGCATGCTTACCACTGCATTTCTGATTTAAAAAAAAAAAAGATAATTTCACTCATATATGGATAAGAGCTCCTGTCCCACGCAAGTTCACTTCCACTGCAGCAATGAAAATCTAGAGGTATGTATATATATATATATATATATATATATATATATATATATATATATATATATATATATATATATATATATATATATATATATATATATATATATATATATATATATATATATATATATATATATTTATCCAGAATCACCCAAATTATGCCTAATCAGTTAACACCAAACTGAAAGCTGTATGGAACCAGAGACAAAACTCCAAACAATGGTCAAGTTTATCACAAGAACTTAGTTATCAGTGTAAATTTCAAGGATATAGTCACAAGAGAAATGAAGATACCTGTTATAAAAACCCTTTCCTAATTCTGGAATTTAATCTGAGCATTAATTTTTTTCACACATCAGCTAACCGCAGTATCTGCCACTGGTTGATCTTGACCTTAAACAAATGGCAGAACTACCCAACTTGGCAGGAAATACAACCTTTACAATAAATATAATGAATATTATTTGTTAAGTATTGTGCAAGTGTCATTTGTTTTATTTGCTAATTGGTCAGTCAGCAGCAACTGGTGTCTGAAGATGTTATGATACTATGATGATCTGTATTTACACAAATGTTTTATTCATATTTCATCTTCATCTAACATTGTGTGCTACATTACACTCAGCAACAACAACAACAACAACACAAGGTTGGTCTATAATTAGACCATCTGTGAAGTGCAAAAGTAATATTTGCTCAAAATTGTATTTTAGTTTTGACTAATTCACAGTTGTGAATAACAAGTTTTCAATGCCTTTTTTGTTGTTCTCAAAATATTTTTAGTGTGTATGTATGGGGGAGGGAGGGAGGGAGAGAGAGAGAGAGAGAGAGAGGGGAGAGAGAGAGAGGGTGGGGGGAGAGAGAGGGGGAGAGAGAAAAAAAAGTTGGGGTAGAGAGAAGGAGAGAGATAAAAAGAGAGAGAGAGATATCCCAAGTGTCACTACCATAATCTGTGTTATCTGTTTTACAATATGTTTTTGACAGAAAAGGGTACAATGTGAAATTATGGGTATGCCATTGTTTATTCCCTTGTGTTAATTATGTTGGTTTTGCCTTATAGGCCTATATATTTTTATTACCTCACATTTTCTATATATATAAAATTGAACTGGTTTCATATATTGCAGTTACAGCGTGTTTAGTGTGACTGCTTCTCATGCTCAAGTATATTCACTCACTAAGTTGATTATCATTATCATCATCACATATTTTGCTGTGACTTATATTTTCTCATGTTAAAAATCTGTTGGTTTTTACGTCCATGCAGAGAGCTTTAACTTTCATATGATCGTTCATTAACAGTATTCACATTTAGGCAGTTAAATAATGAGACTAATTTTATTATGGCATAGAAAAAAATTGCCATCTATGAAGCAAAGCAAATCATCCAAACAGTCTCTATTAGTCTATGATTTGGCCAAATTGTAATGCAGTCTACAGCAGATGACAACTACTATTTTATATAGCTAGTGAGTGTTGCATGGTAACTTTATATCATGGAGAAAAGAGCAAACTGTGTTTAAAATTTGAGAATGTGTTATTGCAAGAGTTGTATTGATGAGACAAGTTTGAAGTTTGTTTTCTTCTTCTTCAGCGATCTCTGGTCATGTGCATAATCCACTGTGGGTCATAAACTAGGATGTTAGTTGTCAGGTCTACTGGGTGTTGCCACATGTTGCTCCGCAGCTCCGTCAAGAGAGGACAGTCTTGCAAGACATGTTCTGGAGTCTGTTTAGCCTAACAACACTGGCAGGGAGCTGTTTGGTTCATACCT